CTAGGCTGGATCCCTTCAGTTTGGGGAAGGAATTATAAAACTCTTAGGAAAACTTTTGAAAACTTAGATTCTTCTAAGGGGTTTACAGATAACTTTCCCCAAAAGAATTTAGTTCCTTAGAGATAACCACTAAAACCTCGGAATTGCCCCAGTGATTTAAGTGCCTTTGACATCTATACATCTGAGAGTTTATGCTAATAAGCAACTCTTGAGATCAGCCTGACTTCAGGTGTGGGGAGCTGAAATTTGAGTTCAGTCAATCAAGTCTAAGTAAATTTACCCACTGCCATCGAGTTGACCCCCATCAGGTTTCTGAGGTGATAAATCTTTACAGAAGTAGATTGTCCCATCTTCCTTCTGCAGAGTGGCTGGTGGATTTGAACTGCCAACCTTCTGGCTAGCAGTCAAATGCCTTAGGCATTGCGCCACCAGAGCTCCTTATGTAAAGAGGTTCCAGTAAAGACTCTGGACACAGAAGCTCTAGGGGCTTCCTGGTTGGTGAAAGACATTGACATATGTGGGAAGGTAGTGAGTCCTTTAGGACATGGACACTCCACCATGAGAACCCTCCCAGTGCCTCTTCATTTGTATTCATTTTCCTGTAAGAAAACTGAAATTGTGGGGGGAAAAAAAATTCTGGATACCTCTTATGTGTCAGGCTCTGGGCTAGTGCTCGGAAAGAAGGGTGCCCATCTACTTGGCCCTGCCCTCTGTGACAGAGGTGGGTGCCCCTCAGGAAGGGTCACTCCATTTCACAGAAGACCATAAGACCTATTATCACCTTGTTGATCGGTAATGTCTGTGACTCACAACACTGGCAATGAAAGACAGTTCTACTTGCCAGGAAGTAGTATCTCAAATTCATCACCATTACCCATCTACCAAGCTAATGTTTAGCGAAAATCATTAAAGGGATGAGGTAGATGTCCATGTGCTGACATGAAAAGACGTCCCAGATATAACATGGCAAGCAAGTTGCAGAACAGAATGCAGCATATAAGCCTGTTTGCATTTAAATATGTATATAGAGGGAATTTTTAAAAACCACAATTGTGCTAAGCCTTTATGATATAAGTATCATGATATCATATAATTCTCACAATAATCCTGGTGAGGTAAGTCCTATTATTATATTATACCTATTCTACGGACATAAAAACTGAGGCCACAAGGGGGTAAAGGGATTTGTCTTTGTTGGTGAGGTCTCACAACAGACTAATATGTGGTGGGCCTGTGAGATGAACCTCTGTCTGCTTGCGTGTGAGCCTAGGCCTGTAACCGCTGGTCTTCAGAAGCTGTACAGGGGCCTCATATCTGCCTTGTGATACACTCTGTGATGTTTGCATTTTTGAAAACAGCTGTGTGCTAGTTTTGTATTTGAAAAACAAAAAAAAACAACAAAACCACTACCAACACAAAAAAATCTGTCAAGAGAGGCGATCATTTGTCTTAAGAGGTGTGGGCCGTGGGATAGATGATAGAGGGAAAAAAGGGCTCTAGGACCAAGGAAGTTTGGGGAACACTGGCTAAACACAGGCTTTTCTTGGGGAGACTTCCGGAGCTTTTGCGAGCTAACGCTGACTGTGAATTAACATGGGGCCAAGATTGTAGCTGAAGCCATGTGGATTTGCTCCTAGAACACTTTTCTTCCCAGGCCCCTCATGGAGCTCCTGTTCTTCAGAACAGACTTTCGAAGAACAGCCTCAGATACTTCAAACCTAACGCTGGGGTTGGTTGGTAGAGGCTACATCCCTGGAATGTATCTTGGACTCATCTGCCCCCACTCCACCCAACTCCCGTCAGAAGTGCTTTCATTGAATTGACCTTGTCCTTAAAACCATCAGCTTGCATTGTGCAGCACCACAGCTCCCAGCGGCTCCACTCCCAAGTTGTGCACGACTTCCAAGTGTCCTCCGTGAGGAAGAGACTTCATAGGTATCGAAACCAGGGTAATTGGGCTCATCCTGAATAGATGTATTATTTTTCTCCTTTTATTGTGGTGAAAACATACACAAGACATTCGCCAACACAAGAACACCCTCATTAACAGCTCAGGGACATTGATGACATGTTTCATGTTGTGCCCCATCATTGCTATCCTTTTCCAAAATATTCCACCACCATTAGCATAAACTCAACGCCCTGCAAACAAAAGCCTCCCCTTTCCCCCTCCCTCCTACCCATGTACCCACTAATAATCTTAGGTTTTTTTTCTCTCTCTCTCTCTCTGTATATGTGTATAATATATATTTATTTTAAATCTGGATATGTTTTCTTCCTTGCATTGGTTACTAGGAAGCAAAGAGCAAAGTTGTCATGCACATAAGACTTTAAGGCTAACATTTTACATTTTAACCTCATATTGATCCATTTTGTGTTTCTATCCTTTTTTTTTTTTTAATCCTTGTTTTATCTTTGTCTCATCTTTCTCTCCCAGTTCTTATTTATGTCATAATCATATTATATTTTGTGTTTTCTCATCAGCCCCTTTAATTCTTTCTCTCCTCAGGGGTTTCTCTCCTCAGGGGTGGGGAGAAGACGGAGGATGGACAGATAAATGGGCAGCTGGAAAGAGAAACAGGTGTAGCATGTGTTGGGCGGGGAGAAGGGGAGTGTGGGTCAGCGTGTAAGCACTTGGGAGTGCGTGTTTGGGTCTGTATGGTCCAGCATGTGATGTATGGGTCATCCCTGCCTCTGAGCATATTGTTGGGCGCCGTCCGGTTGATTCTGACACACAGCAAACTCATGTGACAGAGTAGAACTGCCATAGGGTCTTCTTGGCTGTCATCTTTACAGAAATAGATTGCCGGGTCTTTCTCCCACAGCCCCACTAGGTGGGTTCAAACCGATAATCCTCTAGTTAGTAGCTGAGTGCTTCACTGTTGTGCCACTAGGGCTCCTTGCCTCTGAACATACATGCACACATACATTTCCTTGCCTCTGAACATACATGCACACATACATACTGTCGTAGTTTGGATAGGGAGATGCATGTGTGTGTGTGTGTGTGTGTGTGTGTATGAACCAGTATATAGACCTTCTTCTGAGGCAGACCCCATGGCCCGGCCCTGAATCCAACCTGCCTGAGTTTTCACACCTACTACACACAGGAAACAAGCTAATATGCAAAAGCTACAGCACAAGTGTGAGGGAAAGGGTGGCTCACTGGCCTGACAAGGTGCTGAGTGAATGTAATTCTCGGGGTGGACAGCCTTCCTTCTGGTGCACCATTTGCAGGGGGAGGGAGTACCTTCCCCTGCGAAGAGTCGGCCCTGTGTCAGGTACTACCTAGGGCACACCATAGTCATGATGTTTTCTTCAGTTCCCCACAAGCACATTGTAAGGGAGGGATTTAACACTGCCTCTTTACAGATAAGTAAACTAACGTTCAGAGAGCTGAAGACACTCGCCCAGGGAAATAGCAGAACTGGAATTGTACCTGGACCCACCTGATTCTGAAACCCATGCTCTTTGCATACACTGCACTGTTGCCTTTCTTCTTTGGCCTTGCTCTGAGGTCTCTAACCTCATGGTACCCAGGGAATAGAGCTCAGGGATAGTGACCTTGGCTTCATGTCCTAGGCAATCTCTAAAAAGAGACTTTGTCCTTCTCAAAACTGCCCTGACTCTTCCAGGAAGCCCTCCAGATCCCCCTGAGGGAAGTCTTCACCCCTCCCATGAACCCTCAGCCCTCCCTCTGCCCCATCACTTGGCCCTTTCTCCCTTTGAGAAGAGCCTCTGTTCGTGCAGCCTGAGTGTAAGGAACCTATTGATTCATCCACCAGCACCGGGCCAAGGGGAGGGGAATGCTCATGTCTGTTCAGGTGTGGCTGAGGCCCCCTGAAGCAGGGAGTGACCAACATGCCCTTCGGCTGCCGCATGAGGCTGCAGCCCTGGGAACAGGGAAAGGCTGAGATGTGCTGACCAGGCAGAAATTGTGTGTCAAGAAAAACTTCAGCGGCAGAGGGTGAGGCAAGAGAAACCTGGAACTTCTGGCTGAGGTGGGGACTCCCCCATAAACTGAAAGAAAGCTCAGCGCTCCGGAGTGAGGGGTGGGCAGGTAGCTATGACTTCCTGGGTTTCCACCTCTCCCAGGTTTGAAGCAGGAATACGCAGCACCAACAGGCCCTACACATGCAGCAGCAGTATAAGAGGCGGAAGTAGGAAGGAGCAAGGGGACAGTGTCCTGCAACACTTGGCAAGGACAGGAATGGAACATTTCCAGATGGAAGTTCAGAAGTTCCTTGCCTAGGACCAACTGCACCCCCACTGGGGATTAAAATAGCCCTTATTCTCTTCTCCCATCGTCCTCTCTCCCCTCCAACTTCCCAAAGTCAGATCAGATATTTCCACCCTAGAGACTCCACCCTAGATGATAAATATCCATCCACTCAAGCCCGGAGACTACTCCCTCTCCCAAGCAATGCTGGTCAGTGAGAGCTAAAATCACTTCTCACGCATCCGTCCAGGTGCCCTGAGTGAGTCCTCTCTCTTTCTCTGGAGGTCTGGTCACTAGGTCTGTCCGGGAACCCTAAGGATGACCCAAGCCTGTCATCACTCTGTTCCATGGGGGCCAGGAGAGAGTCATAGTCTAGGTTACCATCCTCCCCTAGGGTGTTCTGGCCCTGGCTCAGCCATTGCCTTGATCTGTAGAAGAATGAGCATCTTGCCCTCTTTGGACCTTGGGAGCCTCATCCATCACATAAGGATTTGGTGATTTCTGAAGACTTTTTTAATAGCTCACAAATCCATGTGCCAGATGTTCCAAGAACCTGCTCCCAGTGAGGTGGGGGTTGATGGTACACATTGCGGCAGGGGCAAGGGCTGCCAACTATACATAAAAAGGTGGCCCAGTCACACTGGAGCCTCCCAGCTGACCACCAGCAATGTTTCTCCATCCCCCAGCCTGAGGGGCTGCTGCATATCCTGTACCGTGCTGTTACCCTCTGCTATCAGGCCCTCACCAGAGCCCCTAGACCCTTGTCCCCAGTGTTCCTTACCTGCCCAGCCCGGGAGCCCTCTGGCCCGTTCACATGGTCCTCCTGGCCCAGCCTGGTTGCCCAGACACAGTCTCAGCTCCCCTTGCCGTTGTTGCCACCGCCTGTCTCCCCGCGCCCACGTCCCACCCTGACTTCCTGCCTCCTCCTGAGGGCTCCTCAGCCAACCCAGCCCCAGCAGCCCAACCACAAGCCTCTAGCACCCAAAGCTTCCTGCCACCAAAGCCCCCTACTCCTCAGCCCTGGGGGTCCCATACATCTCCAGGGGCAGGCCCTACTCACCCTGAGAGTGGATACTTGGAGGATGAAAGTTGAAGGGAGAATGTTTGATGGGACCTCCCCTCCTGCCCCCCCCCCCGGGGTGCAAGGACAGCCTTTGAGCGGGGAAAGGCAGGTAGCACACTGTTATTGTCTGAGAGCTGAGTGACCCTTTCGTTACTATCTAAAGTCAAGATAATATCATTTCAGAATCCGAGGAGAAGACAATATTCCTGTTAAGTAGCTGGAGAGCAGGACAACATCCTTGTTGCCGAATGACAGCAGGCTAACATCTTTGCTGCAGTTGGTGGGCAGAACATCACTCATCTCATATTCTGGGGACAGGACGGCAGCTTTATTAGAGTCAGAGGCAGGCTAACACCCCTCCTACAGATAGAATGCTGGACCACAGCCCATTTCAGAAGCAGGCAGGACAATGCCATGTCTTCAAGAGGGTGGAGAAACAGCCCCTGCTGTAGGCAGAGGGCAAAACCAAAGCCAATGCCATTGCCATTGAGTTGATTCTGACTCACGGCATATCCATGTGCCTAAGAGCAGAGCTCTGCTCCGAAGGGATTTCAGTGGATTTTTCAGAAGTAGATCAGTCCTTTCTTCTGAGGAGCCTCTGGGTGGACTTGAACCTCTAACCTTTTGGTAAGTAGCTGAGCACATTAACTGTTTGCAATACCCCATGAGTTGTGAGGGCAGGGCAGCGTCCACCAATTATGGTTGGAGAATAGGGTAGCAGTTCTAATTCAGATAAGAGATGCAGGGCCTGGCACCATTTCCTGCTTCAGGTAGAAGACAGAACAAAAATGCCTGCCCCGGCACCCAGGTGCAGGCCTCAGATTGGCGGAACTTTCTGTTACAGGCAGGAGGCAGCATCCTTGTGACAAATGGCAGGCAGGCCGAAAAGCTCCAGAAGGAGGGTGGCACCCTCCTCATCATAAGCTGAGGGCCAGGTCACCGGCGACCTGATGAATTTCAGCTGGACTCGCTCAGGCCCAAGAGCTAGATCTTGACCTCATCCAGAGAAAAGTGTGAACGTGGTACCGTCTAAGTCTCAAGTCTACTCAGGCAGGGGGAGGGGAACCCACAGAGTATTGTTGGGGTTTGTGAGGTGCAAGCTGATGCTATGTGCACCTCAGCTGCGGAGGGAAGGGGGGGGACAGGAAACGGGTGGGGGAAGAGGAAGCCTGTGTTGGAAAGTCAGACAAAGAAGTTAACACAGAAACAAAAGCCGAAAGATACAAAGTAAGAAACCTCCAGAGTGATACAGAGCCCAGAACCCAGGCTGTAGGCCTGGTGCAGAGTAGACGGCTCAGCTGGCCTTGCTGTGTGACCCTGAGCACTTCACAGTCCATCTCTGGACCTCAGCCCAGTAGTACTACTACAACCAGGTGATAGTAATGATAAGCATCTGTTGAAGGCTGTGCACTATCTCACTTAAGCCATACCCCATTCTTATGAGGTGACAATTAGCATCTCCATTTTAGAGGTGAGAAAACAGCTTCAGGGGTTGAGGGATTTTCTCACTTCTGATTCAAATAGAGGTAAAGTAGAATAGAAATAAATGCCAGAGTTGCCTTTAACTGAGGTCTACTAGATCTTGCATTCTACAGCCATCCAATTTTACCAGGTGGAGGTGATTCAGGATTTTAAATTCATTCTCAGTTCTCATCTTGATAAGATAGAGATGGGGAGCTATCAGTCCACCACCCCCATCCATCTCCCATACCTACCCCCCCCTCCCCCCGCACCCTGCCTCAGCCCGGCCCCAACCCAGGGCTTCTCTCCTGCAAGGGAATGGCTGGTCCCAGTTACAGACAGGTAACCTTGAGCCTAAATAAACTACAGAGACCTTGATATGCAATAGAAAGCATGTTTATTGTGGAGCCTGGGGTTTTGAACACCTCCTCTCTGCCAGCTAGGGCAGCAAGGGAGGGGCAGGATGCCGGGGCTTTGAGCTCTCAGAACTTTCGAGGGCTGAGCCCCCACCACCCCACCCCATCCCCGCCAGGTGCTGAGGCCTCTGGGGCAACCCTTCTCCCCCGCTTTCCAGATGGGCTGGGGAAGAGGCAGCGGGGGAGGGGGGGCGGGAGCCACGCAGGTGCCCCTCAGCAGAGGGTGAAGCGTCGGGAGCTGATGTTCATGCGCGTGAGACCGAGGTGCCGCAGCGGTGAGGCCAGGGCCGGCCCAGCCCCCGGCTCCAGCTCCAACTCCAGTTCAGCTTCGTCCAGCAGCTCCTGGTGCAGGTGACAGGCCTGGTCCACCTTCAGCCGGTGCAGCTGGGCCCGCAACCTCAGCAACTGTCCTGCCAGCTGCCGGTCCTGAACCTGCATCTCCCGCTGAGGCCAGTAGGGGGCGTGAGCCTTGATTGGACCGACCCTCGGCCTAGCGCCGCCCTTGGTCCTTTCCTGTCAATACTCCGGAGCCGTTGCAGTGGCTGTGTCCTGTTCAGATTACTCTCACCCTAGTAGCTTGATTCCTTTGCATTTCTCAGATCTTGCTCCGTACTGGTGGTGCTCAAACAAAGCTAAGGAGCCATTATTAAACAAATACTGATGCCTGAAGCCCCACCCAAGGTCAACTAAGCAGAATCTGCGGCATAAAGCCTGGACATCTTTCTATTTTGCGTATTGATCTAGTCAAAACTCACTCCCTCAGATTTCTGCCTAAAGTTTAGTCAGCGCCTCCTTTTGTACTTCACCATATCTTTGGAGTATAGCAACTTCCAGAGTAGAGGAGGCCAAATCATCCCCCACTTATAACTGGTGCTTCTGGAAGTGCAGGGCTCTGTCCCCTGAGCTTCTGGAGCACAAGGTAGTGGTTTGGATGGAATCCTGTAGCCCCCTGCCCCCCATCCCTGCCAATAAAACACTGGATAAGTCCATTCCTGGCTCCTCAGGACTTTTAAGTTTATATTGAAACACAGCCACACGAGTGGGCATCTCCTGGGAGTGGGGTCCATTCTCACCCCCCTTCCACATGCTCCTGGTCTTGGGCTCTAAGCAAGATTGATCCAAGGGGCCTCTGCAGGGTTGCTCGCCCCACCATACTCACCAGCTCATGGCGGAGCCAGTCGAGGGCAGAGCTCATTGAGTCGAAGCCACAGATGGCCCCGGGTCCCCCCGGCCCAGGTCTGGCTTGGGCCCCGCGCCAAGCCTGGCTCTGAACCTGGGCTGTCCACTCCAGATAGGAGGGCCGCCGTGTCTGCAGCTGCAGCTTGGCCGTCAATGCCTTCACACAGTCCAGGCTCTCCTCTTTCCCCTCTTCATCCTCTTCACCCACTGCCTGGAATTTCAGTGGCCCCAGGGACATGGCTGGGATTGGGTGGGTGACAGGATAAGGCTGCTACTCTGAGATTACGAAAGGGCTGGCAATAGTGCCCAGGGAGAGATGGTAAGAGCCAAGGGTAAATGGAGTATGCCAGAGAGGGTGTGATGGTGAATATTCAAGGAGCAGTCTGCATGTATCAGGGTGGTGAGCAGATGAGTATGGGAGGCTGAGTGTGCAAGACCTGGGATTTTCCTGAACTGCTAACCCAGGGAGCCACGTGATGCCCATCCGGTTGGGGGCAGGAGGAACCTTGCTCCTCTGGCCCCTTGGATGAATTTTATTGTTTTTGCCCAGAAGGAGACACCCAGTTCCCAGAAAGGAAGTTGCTCCAGGATAAGAAAAGCATCATCCACGCCATAGTCTTGGCCCTCCTCCCAAGCCCCAAATTAAGGATGTGGAAAAAGAGGAGGAGGTTGCCCAGCTGCCCCCGGCCCTTACTCATGACATTGGCCCTTCAACAAAGGAATTGTATCCAGAGCTCTGGCTTGGAAATCAGGAGAGCTGGGTTCTGGAGCCAGCTCTGTGGGACCTTGGACAAGTCACTGGCCCTCTCTGAGGTTCATTTGGGACAAATCAATGATTTTATACTAGACTTTGAGGAGTCTTAGGGTCCCCTAGAAATCCCTCAGAGCAGAGGGAAAGGCAGAATTATGGATAGGCCCTGTAGCCCCCTCCTAGGACTCATCCAGAGCAGTTCCCTTTTTAAGTTTATATTGAAATATAAAATACACATGGACCCAAAAGACCTGAAAACAGTGATACAAACGGACACATGTACATCACTGTGCCTTGCAGTACTATCCACGATTATCAAAAGGTGGGAACAACCAGCAACAACTGATGAATGGATAAATAAAATGTGGCACATACAATGGAATATTACTTGGTCATGAAAATGAATGTCACAACATAGACGAACCTTGCAAACATCATGATGAGTAAATTAAGTCAGTTACAAGAGGACAGATATATATAAAAGCAAAGATTATTAGTGGTTATCACGGGTGGGAGGGAGAGAGGGAGGGAAAAAGGGGGAGTTTTTCCTTAGGGGGCATTGGGTTTGTTACTGATGGAATAATTTGGAAAAGGATAGGGAGAATGATTGCAAACCTTGAAGAATGTGATCAGTGTCATAGAATTGTATACGTAGAAATTGTTGAGATGGTGTATGTTTTCCTATTATATTTTCACAATAAACATTTTAAAAACACACAAAGTGCACGTATCATAAATACATAGCTGATGAATTCTCCCAAACTGAACACACCTACGTAACCAGAAGAATATTACTCAAAAAATAAATAAATTAGCTAAAAGCCAAATTCACCACTATCAAGGTGATTCCAATTCATAGCAACCCCTATTGGGTCTCCCAGGCTGTAAATCTTTACAGACCTACAGAACAGCTGATAGGTTCAAACTATCAACCTCCTGGTGAGCAGTCAAATGCCTTAACCACTACACCACCAGAGCTCCTTGGGGTATATTACTAGCACCTGGGAAGTTACCTTTGTGCTTCTGGCCTGTCACTATCCCCTTAAAGGTAACCCCTACCCTAATTTCTGACAGCATAGATCAGTTTTGTCTGTATGTTTTCCAGTGGTTCTCAAATCTTAGAATCACATGGAGAGTTGTTAGGACATTGCTGGGCTCCACCCCTAGAATTTCTGATTCAGTATGTTGGGTGGGACCTGATCATTTTCTTGCTAACAAATTCCCAAGTGATGGTGATACTGCTGGTCTGGAATTTTACTATTTGTGCTCCTATGTGTCTGGTTTCCTTTGTATAGCATTGCCAATTGTATGTTTACATTATTGGGTCCACCTATGGTTTCACATTTTCATCTGAAAGAAGAGTTTTGTCAAATCAAACAAACAAAAAATTGGAACCTAGTGGCTGGAGGCTGTAGTCAGTTTTATTCTTCCTAGCAATCAGCATCCAGCAGATCATAAGGCATCCACGGTTAAGGAATGAAGGATTGATGGATGGATGGATGGATGGATGAGTCTTCTGTTACTTCAATACCTCCTACTGTAATTTGCCAGCTTTAGTGTGTCTCTTGCCAGACTGAAATCTCTGCTATCAGAACCTTCATCAGTCATCCCTGGGTCCCCAAAAGCAAACAAAGATACAATCTCAGGATATAGGCATAGGTACTTGGCGAGAGACTGAGGCTCCTCCCAGCAGGACTCCACCAGAAATTGCTCCCATTGAGGGCAACCTCAGGCAAGGATGTCCAGTTGTGGAGGGGGAGGAGCGCCAGCTACACAGCTGCTTCCATTTAAGGTGGACAGAAGGATTTTCCTCACTCAAACCTGAGAGGTAGGGGAGGAAGTAAGCAGTTGCCTGTGTGGAGCCTACACTTTTCAGCCCTCCCATCAAGTACTGGGAAAGAGATGATTTGTCTTTCTTTTTTAAGTCAGTAGGAGTAGCGGCACCCCAGGGTTTACAAAGATAGTGAGTGCCTCCTGAGACCCAGGCACAGGGCTAAGGGCTTGAAGCAAAATGATTCTCCTCATTACACAGATGAGGAAATTGAAGATCCCTTCACAGGTTGTAGTGCGGCTGTTCGCTAGGAGGAATGGGCAGTAGGAAGGGTACAGTAAATTCCTGGGCAACTGTGATTTCCCTTCCTCCACGGGGCCTCCTTAAGTGCTGCCCCGCCGGCGCCGCCCGCAGCCCAGCTAGTTCCAGTGCCTTTTGGAGCCGCATCTGCAGGCCTGCTGCTCCTAGTTTGTCTTTCTGCTCCGCCCCAGGCTCCCCACCGGCCAAGTGGAGTTCTTGGAGTTGATTCGCACAGGCCAGGCCCGAAGGTGCCCCGACTGGCGGCGCGCTGTGCGCCACTGGTCACCACCTGCTGCTATCATAGGGGCCCCAGACGACGCCAGACTTGTGGCTGCTGCTCTAGCGTAGCGTTGAGTCCCTAGAGAAACGGTGAGACGTGGCGGAGGAGTCCCCGGAGTTGGAAGCGCGCAGCTCAGCGCGGAGCGGGCGCCCCCCTGCGTAAGGAGGCTCGTCTCCTCTCCCCCGGTGGGGAGCCGGTGCGTCCCCAGGGTCGCAGTTGGATTGGACATCATCATGTTTCGTTGTAAAGACCTGCGGGTGCTGCAGCTAGACATAGGGGTTGTGGAAACCACGGTGGACATCGCTTGCTCCATCGAGGTTCACCGGGGACAGGCCAGAGACTCTGAAGCTAAGCCTATCCCAGACAGAGAGGAGTAAACAGGGGCTGCAGTGCGAGGGGTCTCCGCATCTAGTGTTAGCCAGGTGCACAGCTAAATGGCGGGGGTGTGCACATTAGTCGGAGGAACTTGGAGGGGCGGGAGCTACTGAGTCGAGGGAATGGACAGCGCGCGGGTGGGCGCATTCTGATTTTCCGCCTGACTTCCTTCCCCAAGCACGGTCCTTCACGGAGACCGCCATCACCTCCCTTCCTTCCTTCTGCCGTCCCAAGGGTCTGCGATTGGGTGACGCCCGCCACTTACACACACACCGAAAGCTATTACGAAAGAGTAGCTCGACAGGTGGGCGCTGCCATAGGGTCTGGAGATGGGGAAGCGCCGGGCCTGGAAGGGACTTGTGGATGGGGCGCTTAGTGGGTGCCCTAGACCTGGCCTTCGCCCCACCCTGAGCCACAGACCAATGCTCGGCGGCTGAGCGAGGTGAATGAGGACTTCAGCCTGTGGCTCAGTTATCCCCGGGCGGTGATCGTGCCTCCAGAGGGGGATGACAAGGCCCTGACGTCCCGCGCGCAGACTTCCGCCAGAAAGGCAACTTCCCTGTGCTCAGCCGTCACTACTCACCCAGCAGAACCCTGAGTTCCGCCCCTCCCCAGACTCGGCCCCCTGGTCAGTGGTTCTTCCCGCCTCTTTTCTGCTCTGGTCTGGCCACTTTGCTGCCGCCCCAGATCCTGCCCGATTCTGGCCCAGCCCCTCGCTCAATCCCTCCTTCGCCGTCTCTGGCCTCGCCCCTCCAGTGTGTCAGGGTCTCGCTTTCCTCTGGCCAAGCCTCTGGCTGGCCCAGGGTCCCTTGAAGCCCGGTCCCTTCTTTGTCAACCCATAACCCACCCACAGTCTACTCGGTCCAGCCACAAAGCCACCAAGACTTGGGTCCGAAGCCTTGAGGGGTCCGAAGCCTTGAGAGCTCCGCCCCTAAGTCCCCTGCGCTCCAGCCTCTCCTCTCCCTCCTCTAGCCCGTCTCCCGCGTGCAGATTGGGCCATGGGGCGCCCTGAGCGCACTCCTCGGGTTGGGGTGGGTGAATATGGCCCCTGGAACTGAGTTTCTCTTTGCAGGTGTTACTGCGTTCCATCCAACCCCTGACCTAGCCCCAGAAACGACGTCGCGCTGAGGACTAGGAGCTGCGGAGGTTTGTGCTGGCCAGGGTTCCGACTGGGGCCTGGGACTTCTTCACCGACCCTCCCTCGGCCTGTGGCCAGGTTGCTGAACGAGACCCAAGAGACAGGAGACAGGCGGCGGTACCAAGGCCGAGGCTGCCTACCCTGGCTGGAGGCTGTTCCACCAGCCACTGGAAAGATAAGGGAAACTCGCGAGCCTTTCCGTTCTCTCCCACTCTCCTGCAGGATTCTTCATGGATGTATTGTGGAGGGGCGTCTGCCATCCCGCCATCTGGGTATCCCCATTGCACATCCCCAGTGACAGAGCTCATCACTTTCTACACACATTGCCCTCAAGTTGGATCCGACTCATAGTGACCCCTCCTTGGCTTTCTGAGGCGGTATTACTATGGAGGTAGATTGCCCAACCTTCCTTCCGAGGAGTGGCTGGTGGGTTTGAACTGCCAGCCTTCCTGTTAGCAGTCAAATGCCTTAGGCACTATGCTACCAGAGCTCCTCATTACTCTCTAGGCACCCCTGTATTAAACTGACATTTGTCCCTCTGGAACAGGCCCTTTCCACACACCTCCCCTTCGGTTCTAGCTTGTGCTGAGGACTGTGTCTGCACGGTGTATCTGTTTTTTTCTGTCTCCAGGTGATTGTAGTGCCAAGAGGAGATCCTGGGGGAGTTTTTGTACTTTGAGGAGAGTGGCTTGCTCCCATACCTAGAGTACAAAAACTCTCATTATTCATTTAGTCAACCAACATGAGTGGGCACAGGAGCTGTGATGATGGCAAGACCAGACAAGGCTGAGATCAACGTCAATGGGCAATTCAAAGTCAGTGTGGTAAGTGGCAGCACAGAGGAGGCTCCCCCCTCTTACAGGTAGTCCATAGGTTTCCCTGAAGATGGGCTGCTTCAGCTGAGACTTGAAAGAGGAAGAGTTAGAGGGAGTGGAGACATTCCTGGTGGAACTCAGATGCAGAGTCTGGCCATTGTCTTGTTTGGGAACTGCAAGTTTTTCAGTATGATGGGAGTGTAGAGTTGAGCTGGGTGCAGAGAGAGGCTAAAGGGATAACAGAGGCCAGAGCAAAAGTTTGAATGCCATGATCATGAGTTTAGACTATCCTAAATGCAGTGGGAAGCCATTGAAGGCTTAAACAGGGCTGAAGATTCTCCATTAGATTTTCTGGTACCATGAGCAGAGCAGTTTCTAGGAAGTATGAGCAGATGCCAAAATCTCAAGAGTATTGTATGTCTCTTGTCAGATGGGCTTCCCAGAGTGTCTTATGTCACACCCATCACACTGGGGTACTTCAGAGTACTGTGATACTTTCACCAAATTGGGGGCTTCCCATGGCATTCCATGTGACTCTTCCCCAGGTAATGCTGTGTCTCCCAACAGACTAGGTTTCCCCAGAGGGTCTTAGGTCTTCCCCATCAGACTTGGGAATTCTTAAGAATGCTGAATCACTTCCATCAGATTAGTTGTTCAGTGGATTCTGTGCTTCATGAGTATGGGCTCCCCAAAGGGTCCTGTGTCCCTTCAGATGGGTTCCCTGGAGGCTTCTATGGCTCCCTTACTGGTCTGGGGCACTTGCTTCCAGGCCATGCTCATCAAGAGCTTGGGTTGGGAGACGGGTAATCAGACTCCCACTTGCCTAGGGGACGCCTCTACAGGAGAGCTTTGTGCCCTTGGTGGAGGCCTGTGGAGACCCAGAGCAGAGCATAAATTGCTAGCTTGTTTGGCTAAAGAGCTGCCACTGGCTGGTACATATGAATGAGGCACCGAGCACCACCTGTCTGGCAGCCCAGGGCATGGGAAGGTAAGGCAGTCTACGCTTCAAGACAGGGAATAGGGCAGGATGGTGAGGGCTGTCAACCTCTGTCACAAAACCATGGACCGGGAACAGGCCTATTTTACCTTGGTAGGGAAGGACCTGGACACTGTTGCTGGGCCCTGGGTCCACAGGTAAGGGGCCTATGTCCTGGGGCATGGGCTTGAAGGCAGAGATAGCACATTTTCGTGCCCCTTGAGCCAGACCATGGCTGAATTCCAGGCACTGGTAGAACAGAGTAGATCCAGGTGTTGTTGCCGGAAAGCTCCAGCCCTACCCTTCTGTCCAAAAACTCCACTGCTTTGTGCCATGCTCTGCCCCCTCCTCAGGCTGGCCACCCCTTCCAGCTGTTCTGTGACCACTCAGCCTTTTCCCACACCTAGTCCAAGCATGAGGCACCCACCTTTCTTCTCTTCCTGGACTACGTGTATGTGGCAGCTGGGCCACCAGTTCCCACTGTCACTGTGTTTGGGGAGGAGATGCTGTTGGCGCTGTTGAGCACGCCTATGCTTCCCCCTTTGGCACCTTCCTCCGCAACAGCAAAAAGGAGAGGTGAGCTAGGAGAGTGCCAAGGTAGGTCGCGGACAGCACAGGATAGGGCCAAGCACCTGCTGCATCAGCACCTTATTCCCTTAGAAGACATTTTCCCCTTCAGTTTCCCTTCTATGAAAACTAAGTGTCCTCTTCTACCATACCTCAAAATCTCACACTTCTCCTAACTTGTGCAAACTCAGAGATGGACAGGTCCAAGGCCATTCCTTCAGACTGACCTTCCTTCTCCATTGTTGTCAGTGAGTTGATTTGCATGGTGAGCTCATGTGTAAACAACAGAACTGCTCTATAGGCTTTTCAAGGCTGTGACCTTTGAGAGCAGATCACCAGACTTCTTTCAAAGCACCTCTGGAGAGTTTGAACCGCCAACCTTTCATTTAATAGCTGAGCACTTAACTATTTGAGCCACTCGAGCAAATGTACAACTAGCCTGAAAACAAGGACTGGAAGGGAAAGTTATTGCCAAGTGGTCATTTCTGATGGCTCTACCACTTTACTGGTGAAGCAATGAAATAGAAGTTAGAGTGGTTTGGGCTCAAATTCTGGCGCTACCACTCACCTGGTGGGTGATCTTAAGCAAACCTGAGTCTCAGTTTCCTAATCTAGTGTGGAGAGGACTGTGATAGTAACTGTAATTTACAAGGGGTTGATAATTGAGTTAAAGCATGGAAAGTGTTTAGTGGTCCCTGCCACGAAATAAGCACACAAGTGGTCATTATTTTTCTTTGGCTTGTTGCAGTATACTTCAGTTAGGTCCCCATAAGCATCTTTATTATTAGTCTTGAGAAATGGGAGGGCTCATTCCTCTCCAAGAAGGTGGGGATCATAGTTGTCTCTGCTGTGCAGCCCTCCTCCCCCATACCTCATCTTATTTTCACTAACTCCACTAATGGATTATCCATGTTGGAAAACTATCATTTTTATTTACCTTCCTCTCACTCATCCCTCAAATTTAGTATTTCTCCTAAAAATTTCTTAGCTTACTCCTCTTCTGTCACACCTCCCTCCTATTGCCCTAATTGATCTTTTTTTCCCATCTCAACCATTGCTCCTCACTCCTTTCCCGTTATTCTTCTCCTTTGTTCATAAGGCCCCTCCTCCTAGTGTTTTGTCTTTGCACACCTACTGACACTCAGCTCAAGTTATCATGTCCTTGACAAGCCTTCCTAACACTTAAAAAAAAACTCCGAACTCACTGCCATCCAGTCGATTCCAACTCATAGCCACCCCCATTGGGTTTCTGAGGCTATAAATCTTTACAGAAGTAGATTGCCCCATATTCCTTCTGTGGTGCGACTGGTAGGTTTGAACCACTGACCTTTTGGTTAGCAGCCAAACATCTTATTCACTATGCCACCAGAGCTTTTTTTTTTTTTTTTTAAAAAAAAAAAAACACTTTTAGATAAAGCTAAACTGGTTTCTACCTCTAAATAGAATCCCTTAAGAACTATGGTTTTGCGGTGGGTTCGGGACCATTGTCACAGGGGACATCAAGCTCAATTGGCATAACGTACTACACAAAACATTGTTCCGCCTCCTACTTTGGCGAGTAGTGACTGAGATCTTAAAAGCTTGCAAGTAACCATCTAGATGCGATGGGTCTCTCCTCATTCAGAGCAAAGAAGAAAGAAAACCAAAGATTCGTGGAAATGATTAGTCCTAGTGACTGGTACACCATGTGATCTGCAGCCTATATGACTATGAGACCAGAACTAAATGGTGCCTGGTTACCACTGTCAACCACTCATAGGGGGATCTATGTAGGAGATCCTGGATAGAAAGGGAGAACAATGTGGAACAAAAGTCAAAATCATTTGGAGGAAAAAAAAAAGGGGGACCAGGCTTGTTGGTCTGTTAGAGCCTGGTGGAACCCCTGAGACTATGGCCCCTTGCTGCCCGTCAGGTCTGGAATTGAACCCACACTTGTGGCTTCCAGCCAAACAGAAGACTGGCATATGAGTTGAACATTTACCTGAGGTAGAGACAATCCTTGGAGAGAACAATCATGGGAGAAAGAAGGGCTGTGTGTACACAGGGAGACAGCTCAGGGGGCAGGAGTTCATGGAGTGATGGACACAGGGAAGAGGTAACTATCGGGAGGAAGTGGGAAGGGAGTTGTTGCATTGGGGTGAATTGTAGTCAATGTCATGAGACAAAATGTATATGAACTGCTGTATGGAAAGTGAATTCGCTCTGTAAATTTTCACCCAAATCACAATAAAACCAAACCAAACCAAACCAAACTATGGTTTTGTCTTGTTCCTGTTCTATTCTGGAGTCTAAGACAAGACTAGGCATAATCTTGCAGGAACAATTAGGTTATGACCGCCCCAGGGTACCTTATACTGCTAACCAGGGTCTCCTATCTAGAATCCCAGGAGGCATAGCTGGGCCTTGAAACTGATTCACTCCCTGCAGATGCCTGTGCGAAGTGAGGAGTTGGACACACTCCCTGTGGTTTGGGCTTAACTAGCCAAAAAGGATAGTGAAATCTGCAGAACGCACTTTATGTCTTCACTCCTTTGGCCATTTGGCCTCGTGGAGCCCCAGAGCCTGTGACTGTGGCAAGATGACTCCCCAGCCTCACCTTCTCTCCTGGGGAGTTAATCCCCTCTGCTCAGCTTCCTTACCTGTCTTCCTCCTCCTCAGGCCTGTTTCTGCATTGAATCTACCCACCTGAGCTTCCAGAGGTGGTATAGGAAAAGGTGTGGCAAACAGTGACACAAAAGATCGAGGGCTCTCAGCCAACAGCTTCAGCTTCAGAGCTCCAACCCTAAGTGCTGGCTCCTTGAATAGTGGCTGAGATGTCCCTGAGACCTCCTCAGGACTCAGTACCTTGGGACCCTGGGTGAAGCTGCCTGCAAGTGAACCTAGCCCATAGTATTGAAGTTCCAGGTTTGAAGTATCTAAAGTATAGGGAGAAGGTCCAACTAGTAAAGGTGTCCATGACTGGCATCAGTGTCTGTCAGTGAGAAGGGAAAATGGTAAAACTGACCCCATAAAATACATGATCAGAAACCATTTATTTCCAGACTAATTTATTTCTCAGCATCCTAAACTTTCTGTGAGCAGCCTGAATGGAGATCCAGCTTCTTAAGCCTCAAATTCAAACTCAAAGTACTGTGGGTCGAAGTAGTGGATGCGGACATAACCATCTTCACCACCACTGCTATAGCTGGAAAGACACAGCAAGAGATCAGTCAGGCACCTGCTTGGGGAGAGGCAGGCCTATCGGGCAGGGCATCAGAGAGGGGCAAAGGGAGGGCTTGTGGGGCAGAGACCTGACCCAGAATGAGCTCAACCCATTGCTGAGGGCCTACCTCTTGCCATCAGGATGGAAGGCAACACTATTGATAGGTCCAAAGTGACCCTTGACTCTTCCAAATTCTTCTTCAAAGGCTAAGTGGAAGAACCTGCGCAAAAGGGTAAAGAGAAGAAACCATTCTTCATTTCCTTCCAAAACAGTTATAACATAGCACTCCCCAAATGCAAACTGTATTATAACAAATAGTGGGGCAATTGAGACAGGAGGAAATGGAAATAAGTGGGAAGCTGAAGCGAGGGGTAGAATGGACCCAAATGTCTGCCTGCATCCATAGCTAAGACTTGCTGAGTGTCTACTATGTGCCAGGAAGTGCTCTAAGAGCTTAATGAATATTAACTCATTACTTTAAAATGTACAATGTCATGAGAGGGTTATTATCATTATCCTCACTGTACAGACAAGAAAATTTGGGCACAGAGCAATACAATCACTTGCCTAGGGCCTCATAGTTAAGCTGAGAGTATATGCTCATCACAGAAGGGCCACAAATTTGGCTGCACTTCCTAGAAGCCAAAGGAGCCCTGGTGGCATAGTGGTTAATTGCTTCGCTAACTGAAAGGTAGTGGTTTGAATCTACCAGCTGCTCCACAGGAAAAAGATGTGGCAGTCTGCTCCTGTAAATACTGCAGCCTTGAAAACCCTATGAGACAGTTCTACTGTATTCTATAGGGTCGCTATGAATCAGCATCAACTCAACGGCAGTGGATTTGTTTGCTTTTTGGTCCCAGCAGCCATGGAGACACACTTCATGAGGTTTCCATTTGGAAGAACTCCCCACCACCTTACCTGGCTTCAAATTTCCCAATCCTGGTGGAGGTTGTGGTTACATCCATGGCTTCTTGTCCACCACCTAGCACCACCTGAAGGAAAAAAGAAACTCTAGAAACAGCCCAAACCAAACCCATTGCTGTTGAGTCGATTCTGACTCACAGCAACCCCCGTAGGGTTCCCAAGGCTGTAAATCTTTACAGAAGTACATTGCCCCATCTTCCTTCTGTGGAGTGGCTGGTGGGTTTGAACTGCCAGCCTTCTGGTTAGCAGTCAAATGCCTTAAGCACTGTGCCACCAGAGCTCCTCAGAAACACCCAAAGGGCAACCAAATCCATATAGTTTATTTCCTTCCCCAGCAGCTTTTAACATCTCCCGTATCAGACTGGGAGGGTACGAAGGGAACAGGTCTAACAGACACTCTAGCCACCTCCTGCCCTGTTCCCTGTGGCTTGACTCTGCTCTGGGGTCCTCTCTGCCTGACACCATTGCCCCTCAGGATTCATAGCCTGACCACCAGCCACACATCTAGATCCTGGAAGCTTTCTGGGGCTTTATCAGGAAGCCTGGGGAAGCTCCCTTACGTGGTCATAGTTGGGAGAAAGGGCAGCTGAGTTGACGGGACGTTCTGTTCGGAAAGTCTTCTGGTGTTCGAGGGTGGTGGAGTCAAAGAGCTGGAGAGAGAAGGCAGGCAGGCTGAGAGCTGTGTGGCAGGTAGGCAGGAGCAGCCACACCTGATGCCCTACCCAGGCTCACCTTGGATGTGTTGTCCTTGGATGCGGTGACAAACATGGTCATGTCCCTGGACAACTGGATGTCATTGATCTGCCGGGAGTGCTCCTTAACATTCACCAATACTTCTCCGGACTGGGAAAGGAGGGAAGAATGAGCCCTGACTGGCCCCAATCACCCTCGGTGTCATTAGGGTTCTGTACACTGCTTCTTGTCCCATCGAGGGGAGGGGAGGCCTGGGCTGAAACTGCCTAAGTATCCCCCAAATCAACATTTACTCCCTCCCCTAGGCCCAAGACTACATCCTGACCTGGCCTTTGTGTGAGTTTCACAAACACTGACAGGCCATCCAGGACTGAGGAAAACACATGCCCATGGTCACAAATCTGTGGACCTGTTAATAAATCATAATGGTAGAACCATTTCCACTTGTTTCTTCATTAAACAAATATTTACTGAACAGCTATCATTTGTCAAGTGATATGCTAAGCACTTAACAACATTTTACATTTTATCTTTATACTGATCCTATGAAGTAAGTATTACAATTTTAAGAAGAAGAAAGTAAGGTCCAGACAATATGTGCCTTGCTGGAGACCACACAACTAGTAAGAAGCAGAGAGCCTATGCTCATACCTGCTTTCTTTCTTTTTTTTTTTGGTATCAAACTTGGTATCTTTATTTTTTTGCAGAAAAATTTCCACTTAATTAAACTTATTTACATAAAGTTATCCATTACGCCTTATTTTTTTTTTTAATAGTATTTTACTGTATTTTCAGTGAAAGTTTACACAGCAAATTAGGTTCCCATTTGACCATTTCTACACAAGCTATTAGAGACATATTACATTTTTCACAATGTATCAACATTCTCATTAATTGCATTCTGGTTGTTCTGTTTCTAGTACTCTAGTTTCCCTCTCCCCTTATCTACTCATCTTTGCCTTAGAGCAACTGTTGACCTTTCGGTCTCACAGAGATGGAGCTCATACTGACTTTATTCCCAGGGCCTGGTCAGTCAGTCATTGGGGACTGTTACATGTCCATCTTTTTTAGGTCTCCTAAGGGAGCTCTGATAGCACAGTGCCTCAGGCACTTGACTGCTAACTAGAAGGCTGGTGGTTCAAACTCACCAGCTACTCCTCGGATGGAAGATGGGGCAATCTACATCCGTAGTGATACTGCCTTGGAAACCCAAGGAGGGGTCGCTATGAGTCAGATCCGACTCAATGGCACAAAACAATAACAACAAGGGCCACTTCAGCTCCCAGTTTCCCTGCCCACTAAACAACATGCTAACTTAACTAGACAACATGAGTAGCATAGAAAGGAGTTTTGGAGTCACCCGCTTACAGCTGTGTGATCTTGGAAAAGTACTTGCCCAGTGAGAGAGCTTTCAGCATCTCCAAACACCCAAGTCAGAAATGGGAGTCAACCTAAACTTTACCCTTCCTTCACCTGCACTATTTGCTACCAAACCAAACTTGTTGCTGCAGAGTCAATTCCGACTCATCATGACCCTGTAAGACAGAGTAGAACTATCCCATAAGGTTTCCAAGGCTGTAATCTTTACGGAAGCAGGTTGCCACATCTTTATCCCATGGAGTGGCTGGTAAATTCAAACTATCGACCTTTTGGTTTGCAGCCGAGTGCTTAATCACTGCACCACCTTCTAAATTAAACAGAAGGATGTCTTCTATTTAATCAGTCACCCCTATCTATCTCTTGAGATAGATAGAGTCACCCCTATCTATCTCTTGAGACTCACCCTCTTGGCTACTGCCCTAGTTCAGATCTATTCTCCAACTGTAGCAAAACCTTTCTAAGGAGGCAATCTGATCAACAGTCCTTTGAGGATTCCTGACTGTCCAGAGGGAAATCCACTCTTTCTCTCCTGATACTCAAGGACCTTCAAAATCTAATTGCTGCCTACCTTCCCTAACAGTGCATTCCACTCACACTAGACTCTTCACCCAGTACTCCCAAGCCTCCATGCCTTTGCTTTTACTGTTCCTTTTGCCTTTCCTTCCTGCCTGAAGCTCCATTTACTCTTTATGGTCTACTATACATGCCACCTCCTCTGTGACAGAGTGCACCTTCCATACTTGTTAAGACCTCTATGGTGGCACAATTTATAATCTGACTCGTGCTAGCTGTTTATAAGTCTGTCTTCCCCTAGGGCAGGGACCATGTCTGATTTACTTGTGTCCTTGAAACCCAGCACAAGGCCTGGCACTTAGTAGTGGCAGGAAAATGCTTATTTGTGATCATTATGAACAAGCTCTGACAAGTCATTCAAATAGCTGATGTGATTTAAGCCTTAAAACATTTTACAAACAGGCTCAGGGAAGTTATGCAACTCACTCAAAATCACATAGAAATTGGTGAAATCTGTATTTGAACTCAGCCTTCACTCTTAACCATAGTGCTATCTTGCCTTGAAACATCTCATTCTGGCAGGCATGGGCCCTACATGGCCCCTTACCTTGGCACTATACTGGTTGAGTTCTCCACTCTCGTGGCCTGCGATGATGCACTCTCCCAGGGGCCCCCAAACAGCACTGGTGATCTTGGAGTCGCTACAAGGGATCTTCATGTAAGGCTCGTTGCTGTCTGTAAGGGGCAGCAGGTATCATGCCCTGGACACTGGAGCCATACCCTTCACCTTAACCCCAGCCCTAGCTGTAGCCCTAGCCCTTACCGATCTGGCTTGGGTCCCGCAGGTCGAAGAAGCTCACAAAGCACTGGTAGCCCATCTGCTTGTCCGTGGAGAACATAATGATGTTGCCCCCAAAGTCAAAACCACAGGTCCGGACAGCTGAGTTGGTCTTGAGTAGGGCCAGCTGCTTCCCTGGGGACAAGCAGAGTCTGGGCTTCCCCTTGCTCACTGTCATCATGGGAAGATACTCCCTATACCTGCCTCGCATCACATACCACTGTTCCTCCTGCTCCAGCACTCCAATCCATCCCTCTCTTCCCCCTCACTGCTACTTTTTGGCTCAAGTCTCTTAGTATCTCTTTCCTCCCACCCCCCAAAGCTCTCCTCAGACGTCAGCTAATGTGGCACTGCTCACAGTGGATTACAATATATTTCTCTCTCCCTCAGACTGTGCTCCTCCACACCAAAGACCTGTTCTGATTTCTCTCTGTATCCTCAGGGCCCAGCACAGGCCTGGCACAGAACTGGGTACCCAGTAAATAGTTGCAACATAATAGGCTTCCCTTTCTTTAGTCTCAGGTTTTCCAATGCATGCTGCCCATTGCTACCTGTACTTATAAAGAGACCACCACTCATCTTTGCTTCAGGACCTTATAGCCTGCCAAGGCCTACAGAACAAAGCCACACTTTCAAGCTGGCACTCAAGGTCTGTTCTGGCTCTGGCCTGCCTATCCACCTCATCTCTACTATCCATCGATTTCAATGCCCAAGAAGCAGGAACTTCAGTGAGATCAGATGACTTGAACTTGACATTATGTTTTCATTCCTGCATATGCCAAAGTGATGACCTTTTTTCATCCTTCAAGTCCCAGCTATATGACATGTATCTTGGAAAACCTTCCTGGGCTGCTCCCACCCCTACTCAAGGCAGGCAGTTGCCCCCTAAGTCCTCCCACAGTACTTATGCTTCCTCCAACATGGTTTTTATTTTACTGTAGTGCCTCTTTTCTCATCTATCTTTTTTATTTTCTCATCTGTTTCTCATTTCCTAGACTGGGAACTGTCTCTGGATTTATCTGTTTCCCCAGAATTTGTTTGCTTAAAAAGGCACCCTATCAATCCTCAGTGTTTGCTGAAAAAGCAAATGATCCAGGCTTACCTGTTTCACAATCCCAGAGACGACAGCTGTTGTCAGCTGAGCCTGTGAGGACATGCTTGGTGTCCCCTGAAATGGCTATTAAGGAACAAGACTAAGTTCACCTGAGCCCCTGTCCTCTTGTTAGGCCATATGAATAATTTTCATGTTCAGCTCCAGCCTTTCTTCCCCCTTCCTTTCTCAGCGCATTTTCACCTCCTCAGCCACAACTGGGAAGTTTTCCCAGATGTTCCCCCAAATAGGGAAGAGATTACAGAGGGACCCAGTGGCATCCCAAACCACCAGCCCCAAGCTCAGCATTCTCTCCATTGCTGGCAGCCCCTGGGAGCATAGACTCAGAGCAAAGAGGATACAGTCGGCGTCCACACACCACACAGCTCCCGTGTGGCCCATGTAGGTGCCCAATCTCTCCCCATTCACAGAGTACCATACATTGACGATCTGGAGGAATCAAATGACAGGATGCTAACATTCCAGGCAGAGCAGCAGCTTATTTCACCCCAGAAACCCTCAGCAGCCTCTACTGCCTGCAGGTAAGCAAGAGACGAGTCAAGAGGCTTACAAAAATGGCCTCTTTTATTACTGCCTCAGCCTCCAAATTCCCAGACCTTCAGACGAGTACAATATCAAGCTGAACACTAATCTAGAAAAACAATAGCTTTGGTGTCCTGTTCAAGTGGGAGCAATCACCAGCAGGGACGTCTGTGTTCTAGTCCCTAGTGCCACTATGTGACTGTATTCTCTCAAACAGAGCACTTCTCCCCTTTGACGTTCAGTTTTCCCATTTGTAAAGTGGCCATAACAATAACGCTACCTTCAAAGGGTAATTAGGAGGCGCTGATGAAATGGTGTCTAAAGAGTTTAAAATATAAATGACTAATTTCAGTCATATGCACCAGGTTCTGTATGTACTAAGATCCTTACATACATGATCTCATTTAATCCTAAAGTCAACCCCATAAGGTAGGATGGAGATACAAAGTACCTATATTTTATAAACAGGGAAACTTGAAGTTGAAAAGGTTAAGTCACAATGCTAATAGATCAAGAGTCAGGATTCAAATCCAAGTCTATGTGGCTTAGGAGCCCCACTTTTAACCATTAGTGTTAACTTTCTCCTTAAGGAGGGGATTCAAAAGGCAGTATAATGAGGGATTGTTTGCATTCAGTGAGCCCATAGAATGAAATGAAACTTGTTGTTAGGCGCCAATTTCCACTCAGCGACCCCATGTAACAGAAATGAATTGCCCCATGGGCTTTTTCTAGGCTGTAAACTTTACGGGAACAGATCGCCAGGTCTTTCTCCCCCTAAGTCACTGAGTGGGTTCCAACAGCCAGCTTTTCGGTTAGCAGCCCAGTGCTTAACCATTGCGCCACCACTCCATCAAATCCCCTATGTCCCTCGAGGCCTATGGATCAGCTTTCCTCTAGAGGGGTGATCTGTTACCCTATCCTGATAGTATGGTTCTGTTCTTCCCCAGAATGGTCTTGTCTTGGTTCCCTACTTCTCAGAACCATGCGCTCTTTGGTTCCCCTCTAGTGGCAAAACTAGTTTGCATATCCACCGCCCTGGCAGGATGGACTCGTCCCCTCCAGGATCCCTTCCACAGGCTCCCACCCACCGGCCCTCGGGCTGACGCTCACAGGGTCTTTGGCCACGGTGAAGAGGAGGTCCCCTTCGCGGTTGTACTTGATCTGCGTAATGGACCGCTCATGGCCCTGCAGCAGGATAGGCTTCTGTGGATACAGGACGGCAATGTCAGAAGCTGGAATCGTGTCCCTGCCCCAGCCCGAGACCAACAATCCAACACCCTTAACGCAGTGGAACTCACCATGCTGGCGGTGACGCGAGGAGACCAGTGACTCGAGCAGGACCGGATGAGGCCTTTACGCCACTTCCGCATTCTGGATCTCCGCGCCTCCGTTCCCGGAAGTAGAAGAGAGCGGTGTTGCCATGGCGGCGTCTCTAGGTGGGTAGCAGACCTGTTCCTCCATGGATTTCCCGACCCCCCGGTCTTAGTTAATTTCCCACCCTACCTTCACCCCCCTACCCTCACCCCTGGTACTGTCCCAGACCTCAGCCTCCTAGGTGGATCTTCCCGGCCTCCCAGGGCCTGACCTACTGGCCAGTCGCGCGCGAAGCCGGGAGGTGGGGACCGCCAGGCTAGAAGACCAGGGGAGGGGCGGGCCAGGCAGGCGCGGGTTGGGAAGGAAAACGTGACCCGAATCTCCATCCAGGACAGGTGCTGGCCTTGGTGTTGGTGGCAGCTCTGTGGGGTGGCACGCAGCCGCTGCTGAAGCGGGCCTCCGCCGGCCTGCAGCAGGTTCATGAGCGTACCTGGGTCCAGCAATTGCTGCAGGAGATGAAGACCCTCTTCTTGAATACTGAGGTGTGTTCCCGAACGTCCCGTCTCTCGAGGGTGGCCGCTAAGGATTTGATCTCTGGAATCAACAGATCTGGGCCCGAGTCCCGACTCTGCCACTTGCTTACTAGATGCTCTTGGACTTCCCTGAGCCGGTTTATAATCTGTAAAATAAAGAAAATAGTGGGGATATCAATGCCCAGTTTTATGGGACAGTTGTGAGGATTAAGTGAAATTAGACATGTAAATAATTTAGCATTGGTCTAGTATCAGTGCTCAACTCAGGGCAGGGCTGCTATTGTTATTTTATTATTGTGATTTCTCCAACGGACCTTTCCAGAGGGAGGGCTGGAGGCTCAGATTGGAGAGGGAGAGTCAAGCAAGATATGGATATGGAGAACTGCCTCTGACCCTTAGTAGTAAAGACAAGACATGGACACAACCAGTTGTCAGGGCCGAGGGTTATGAAAGGTACACATGAAGTGCTGGGGGGGTTCTGGGGCGGGGGGGAGCGTGAAGAAAGGAGACGGGGACAACACAGGACGGGGATGGACAAACTCAGGAAAGGCTTCCTGGGGGGGGTTGACATTGACATGCACTCAAAGGCTTGCAGGATAGGGAGCATGGGAACTAGCAGAGCCTAAGGAGAGGGCATTCTAGGGAAAAAGCATGTAATTCAGTCAGTAACTGTTTCCCTTTTTGCCCTGGAAAGGTCCTCTGAGAGTTTAGTGCTCCCTGGGCCTTTATAATTACCCCTCCTGCAAGGAAAGACATATGCTAGAAGCTCAAAGAAGGTAGTGCTGCTCAGTCTAGCAATCCCATTTATTGCAGCTTTCTCGTTTCCAGTACCTGATGCCCTTTCTCTTTAACCAGTGTGGCTCCCTTCTCTACTACTTCACCTTGGCATCCACAGGTGGGTCTCTGGCTTGGAACGGTTCTGCTTAGTGGTGGAGGCCACCCAGGAGAGCCATTTTTGGGGAAGAACCCTGAAATACCGTGTTCCCATCAGTGAGGGAGAGCTCGCTGTCTCTGGCTCCCTCTTCGCACCCTCTTCTCTGAGCAGGAGTGGCACAGTAGCCTGGTTTTAGTATGCTGCACACACAGGGTTCGTGTGAAGCCTGGCAGTCTTGTGCAGCAGCAGAGGAGGAAGAAGGTTCATCTTGCTGTGCCAAGTGCAGTCTTGGACACTCTTGCTTTCAACCTTGCATTCTACCTTCCTTGACCTTGAGCAAATCCCTTATTTGAGCCTCAGTTTTATATGATCTGCTTCATAATTGTGAGGATTAAATGTAATAATGTATGAGAAGCATCTAGCAGAGTGCCAAGCACACAGTAGGAGCTCGATAAATATAAATTTCCTTCCTGCCAAACGTTTGTTGACTGGTCTCTATGTTGTTTTTGTTGTTTTTGTTATGTGCCGTTGAGTCAAACCCGACTCATAGC